TTGCGGGCGTCTTACAATATCTCGTTACTTATAGCAAAATCCGGAAAACCGCATACTATCGGAGAGAAGTTAATTTTGCCAGCCGTTGAAGAGGTTTTAAAAACTGTTTTACATAAACCTGCATCTGATATCATTAAAAGAATTCCCTTAAGCAACAATACTGTTGAAAGATGTATTGATGAAATGAGTTCTGATATTGAAAGCTTCTTATGTAATTATTTGCAAACGACCCATTTCTCTATACAACTGGACGAGTCAACTTTACCTGATAATGCAGCATTATTATTGGCATATGTTCGTTTTATTATATGAATCAAGAAATCTACGAAGAACTGCTCTTCGCAAGAACTTTGATAACCGACACTAAAGGTGAATCAATATTTCATGTTTTGAAGGATTACTTCATTGAAAAAGCAATTCCTTTATCAAATATAATATCAGTAGCTCTGTAGCTACGTCCAACCATGGCAGGTGCTCCATCTGTATGGAGCACCTGCCATGGTTGGACGTTATCGTGGATTTATAAGCTATTTAAAACAAAATGTGTCAGGGGTGTTAGCAATATATTGCGTCATCCATCGACAACATTCAGTTGCTAAAAAATTGAATATTAGATTGCATGAGTCACTTCATTTAGTCATTGATGCAGTAAACCGAATCCGAAGCAACGCGCTGAATACGCAGTTATTTGCGCAGTTGTGTGAAGAAAATGACTAACACTTTCATCAATTACTCCTTCACACTGAAGTATGCTGGCTGTCGAAAGGCTTATGTTTGACAAGATATTTTGCACTTTTTAAAACTATTTTAGAATTTCTGGATACTAAAGATAAAATTTTAAAAGAAAATTTAATGAAGAGGAAAACAGACATCGCCTATTTAACAGATTTGTTTACAAAATTTAATATGGTTAATTTGCAATTACAAGGCGACAGTTTAAATTTGATTAAAACAAAGTCCATCTTATCAGCGTTTCCTGCCAGAGTTAAACTAATGAAGTAAAATATTGGACGGGGCGAACTTTCTCAGTTCCCCAATTTGTCACAGACAAGCTGCCAGGAAGACGACGTTTCAACTTACGTTCAACATTTAAATGCCCCCTATTCAGATTTTGAATCTAGGTTTGAGGATATTTTGACTATGGTAATACCACCGTGGATAATTAATCCATACGTGACATAGAAGAAACGAATGTCATAATACAAGAGGAACTGACTGAACTAAGTACAAACGAAGAACTTAAGGTTCAGTTTAAAAACGGATATCAGCAATTCTGGCTGCAAAACAACATACCCGTTACTTATCCCGTATTATGGAATATAGCAAGGAAATTTTTAATTTCCTTTCCATCGTCATACCTAGTGGAAAGGTGGTTCAGCGCTGTTACCAATCTCCTAACGAAAAAATAAAACAGACTGGACATCATTAGCCGAGGAGATTTAAGATTAACCCTTACAAAATTGACGCCAAATGTTGATAATTTATTATTAAAGCATCAGGTTCATCCTTCTCACTAAAAATATTGACTTATTGCTTATGTTATTTTATTTATAGTTTATTTTATGTTCATTTAATGCTACGTATATTTTACATAACAGATACAAAACTTTATTTTGAGTAGTTTTAATTTAAATTCAAATAATAAATGTATAAATTAACATGTGTTTTTACTTTAAGTTTTTAACACTAAACTTCACTACAGTTACAGGAAATTTATAGGAAATCAATATCAGGTAATTAGGGGGTCTACCCAACACGGAAAAACATGGCAAGGGGTCTACGACACAAAAAAGTTTGGGGAACTCTGGTCTAGATAAATAAAAGTGAACATTAATTACATTGTAAAACGATAATTCTGGTAGCAAGGATTAGGAGAACGTATGTTTGATAATGTTGTCAGTCCGTAACAATACAGTTATGTACTGATGTACTGATATTATCATACTTTTTTTCATTATCACATCACAGCCCGTTAAAACTCTACTGCTAAAAATGGGCTCCACAAGGAATGCCACAAGACTCTTTCCTAAGGCACCTGTATCCATCAACTTGCAAGTCCTTCAGGAAGTCGATGGATGCATGATACCCTGCTGGAATATAGTGTACTGGTGGTGTAGGTAAGAATATTCACTATTCCGCATCAGCTAATGGGTGAAAGAGATCAGGACATGGGCATCGACTTTTTTCTGATAACAACTAAATAATAATGAAACAGTTGTGGCTGCTGCCACGCCTGGCCAGTGGCAACAACGACAACGTGAAGTTAAAAATATCTTTTTTGTTTTTTTTGTTGTTGTTTTGCACGTATCATCTTGATCTCTTCACCTGTCTGTGTATTTTGCATCTAATATTATCAATTCATCATCATTACACCCTTTCAGAAGTTCCATGTTGAACATAGGCCTCCCCCAAGGAATGCCACTAAAATAAAATAAAATATAGTTTTACAATACTAACCGAAGTAGATTCACTCGAATCTGATGACATTCACTCTATCAACATTATCTTAAGCCGATTCAATACAAACCATGCAGAAGTCTTACGAATAACTACCGTAAAATAGAACACGTGTTCCTTTCCCAGTCGCAATATTGCATTCGCGCTACATTTGCAGAGTCCTACCAGGTATATTAGAGTATTACTCACTTGGTAACTGTTATTTAGTCTGTGGTATTAGTCTCTTACGAAAGCACAAAGGAAAAAATTAAAAACCTGCCAGACCACAATGTAAAGAGATAAAATCAGAAACGAAATAAACAGATAACGTACGACAGTAGACAAAGTTACATTAAAAATAAAGAAACTGAAATAGTAATGGACAGGCCACATCACCACAGAAAGAAAAATGGAACCAAAGTATTCTGATAACTGAGAAACGAAAAAAGTAAACGGGGAAGACAACTTTGAAAGTGAACCATGAAATAAAGGCATAAGCAAACATGGACTAGGACAGCCCTAAACAGAAAAAATGGAAAGATATGTTGGAGGCAAAAGCCAAATCTGTGCATAGAGACCAAGCTGCTGTTGCCGACCGACTTGTCGACTAAATTATCTGAAAATAAACTTATATCTATCAAATTAGTCCATAGATTCCTATACTGACTAAACGATTCTTTTTCTGTAGAATTTAAAAGAATATTAACATCAAAATTATCTCAGTCCAGACCTAATACTGTAAAACCATCAGATGTTAATCTGGTTTTTAACAAAATTACGATTTTATTGCTAGGTAGAGACGGTCCAACTTCAGATGGTTTAATGGAATCTCTTACGAAGCAACACCACAATCAACAACAATCTCAAAACCGGTGTGACTGCATTTTACGGAATCATTTTTAAATATTCTTTAAAATTAGAAAACGGATACGGATAAAGATACAAAATTAGTAAGTGGAGGTGGCAATTGGTCGGTCCTATAGCTGGAAGGACCGACAAGCGATAGGGAAGAAAGGTTTCCGAGTGAAAGCCTCGTACCAGTAAGTCAAGTAAAAGGCGGTCTAATCTATAAAAAAATGGGATTTTATATCTTCAGAAACTATAATACTCAAGCTATAATCAAATTGTAAAACTTGTTTCACATAAATAGTATTTATTAATATTTTAAATTTCTAAAATAGTTATAAATTTTAAAATAAGCAGTGTTTGTAACATTTCAACTATAAGTAATAATTAGACTCTTATAGCTTGGTACCATAACGTGAAAGTAATGAAGAAACACCGTTTTATTTTCTAGTAATTTACATATTATTAGTCATGGATCAGTAAGCTGATGTGGCAATGGGCTATGCGAGCTATGGAGAGGGCTATACTCGGGATTTCTCTGCGTGATAGATACAACATATAAATGTGGATATCCGCAGTAGAATCAGAATTACGTCGACTGATGCAGGTGGTTTCATTTATCCATTACAGCCTATTAAAGTCCAATGCTGAAAATAGACATCCCCCACAGATTGCATCATAGGGGTACTTTTCCATAGTTATTACAGTTATTTTATTTTATAAAGTTGTTATCAGGAAGATTGCTGCTGCTCATCTAGTATTTTAGTTTACCCTTGTCGCCTCTTACGACACCCACGGGACTATAATGAGGTGGAGGGTATTCCCACACCGCCACTACATAGCAGGTGACTTAGGACTGTACTTGTGGCATTTTTGGGGGAGGCCTTTGTTTAATAATAATAATAATAATTGATTGATTTGTAAAGTGCTGTAATGATGATGATGATGAAGGCGAGAAATAACCATATACCCGATTAACGTAGGTTTAGTCAACTCGAAGGAAATTTCAAACGGCTGATCTGATGTGAGTAGAAATAAAATGATGGACGAGAGGTTATTCCGGGAACTTTTCCCTTCGACCTTTACATTTTAGATCATTGTTTAATTGCCCTATAGAGTAAAAAACTTTGGAATTTGTATTGAGCAAGGGCAGTTATAGGTCTTCTTTAGAGTTAAACAATCTGGTAAAAAATTTCCAGCAAACATTTTTTAAGTACTCAATAAATGGAATTTGTAGAATATTCATAATGTTAACATTCTACGTATATCGTTGGTGCGTTGTAAGGATTGATGATATTCAAACAATATGTTTGTTTTGTCGAGACGATAGTTCATAAAAATAGTAGGAACCGAAAGTGACACTGTAGTTAAGTTATTAACAAATTCTAAACGAGCACACAGTCCACTTGACGGTAAGTAGATGCTGTGGTCTGTAACACAACTATTACTTGATTGAGAATTAAAATGTAGATGCGTTGTCAAACATGAGGATTAAAATGGAATGCCTCGTTTCTAGTAAAAAGTGTCTCTGCTCCCCGGTTCTCTACACTCACTCATATAGTATTAAGCTGCTATTTTAGGCTGGCATTCTGTGAGAGAACAGTGGAATTTCATCAGGAGTCAAAAATCGACAAGTATAGTTTATGTTGGGTTCTTAGTAATTCTTTTATTATTAAAAAAAATGTGTGTTGTTAAGTCAGAGTGTAAGACGGACATACCTCCTGGTTGCACTGTGAGCAGAAGTCGTGACGGCAGGTGGGGCAGTGCGCGGGGCTAGCGGCGCGCACCGACACCACCGTGTCGCAGCCGACACGAGGACAAAAAGCACGCCCAGAGTCCATCGACACCTCTGTAACAAACGTATTAAAAGATTAACAAACGAAAACATTCTCGATTCATCGGAATATTTTTAATATATGATATGCGATATTTCTTTACCACGTTGTCAGATTTTAAAACCTCTTTTTTGTTAGAAAGGGGACTCCCTCAGAGATGGTCCCAATATAAATTTGGTCAAGCTTTGATTATGAGATCGATGAGAAAATCATCAGACTCATTAGTTTGCTAATGAAATACATATTTATTGAACTTACTCTTAGTTTTTAAGTTTTAAGTGTACTTTACTTAAAACATAAAAGATTTTTAACATTGATATGATCACTATAAGATGTTGATAGGTTAGCCAATTACGTAATAACTCAAGACAGAAGGACCCTTAAGTAGGGACTGAATAACGGCCAAACGGAATCCGTTAACTCAGTTCATTCCGTTGGTGTTTTAAGAGACCCTGGAAAACGCAGAAAAATCTCATGGCTTCCGATATATGATAGTACTTATTATTTCATCATTATTCATCATTATTGCAACCAATCAAGTCATATAACATGGGCTGCCTGCATAAACTGTCTTAGTTCTGCCATAGTAGCCACGTTTGGCAAACGTGTTGGCAACCGTAATTTATTCATTATTTTGAATTGTATCAGGGAGATGCTGCTCTGTACAACCAACTTTGATAGGCACGACATCTTTTCGAATTTTTCTGAGGGTTTCTTCGAAAAGGAGTTACTCAATTCGATTGTATATTTTTTATTTGCGTTAAATCAGAACTTTTTTCTGAGTGAACCGATTCTGATGATTCTTTTTTTATTTAAAAGCTGGTGTTTGTCTCGTGTGGTCCCATTTAAACAAGATCTGCCCAGTATGAGTTACCGTTAATTGTTATGCGTATTTAATTGACTTCGAATACATTGACGATGTTCTCATTTTAATTATATTGAAGTCGGTTGTACAAAATTATTAATTTTACCGTTTATTCGTTTTAAAGCATTTTAGTGCTTAATCATAGTTAAGTGTTTTAGTACCTACGTTGTAATACAACTTTTGTATCTTTTGACGTGAACAAGGAAACTACGAATTGTAAACAACGAACGTGAAAGCATTATAAGGTAGTGTCTGCATGAACGGCAAGCAAACGCACGGCGAATCGAAAGGCACCAAGCACGAGTCAAGAGCGGGCGAAGTCACGGCCGAGCGTTGCCTCGCAATATCAACGCGGATTACAGCACGGACACGTTTACTTGTCGCTAAAGTCACCTCAGTTATTTACTAATCTCGTCGGTTTCTCAGCGACCTTTTAAAATAAAAAGGTCTATAAACATTTTATCTAACTTCAAACTTAATTAACTTGGCACGATTTTTTGTAGGTTACATTATTCCTTAAGAAAAAGTTTTATCAAAACCTGACTATAGAGTACATATTTAAATAAATAAATGAAAGAATTCCTTTATTTTCTCTTCACAATAAGTAATTGTTGGTTAACTAAACCTGGTATAGAGTCAAAACTTACAAGATCCCCAATGCAATTCCCCAGATACTAGCATCTACCAGTGTAATTTTTTCAAATGTTATTTATTATATCATATATATATCGCAGGTATATTGTCAAAGCCGTGATATTACAATTTCACTAGTGGTATTATAATTGAACGGTAGATTATCAATGGACTTCATTTCTTACAGTTTAAAAAGGTAATTTTATACTTTTAATTTATTAAAATAATCCAACTATATGTATTAAGAATATATAACTGTAATATGATACGTATTACCATAATATATATACTACTACCTTAATATGTACTTAGGGCGCTGATAACGCTCGATCTTACTTTTTAATTTGAATTGGTTATACCAAACAAATTACGCAACTGTTTTTGCTTTAACATACCACCACGTACACATGTAACACCGTTTTATAACAAAGCCAATATATTAAAAATGGTCCTCTGGAGACGACTACCTTTGCTATTCTTTTGTTCGGTATTGTAAAAACAAAGAACCATTATAATTGTACAATAAGCTTGATTGGGCCATATATCACAATAATACACATTATCTCAGATCAGTTGAACAAAAATTAGTATATCCTTTTAGCCGCTCTACTGCATTCAGAGGTAGTTTTAAATATAATGCAACAAAGTGTTGGAACAATCTGCCACCTCCCTCACGTAGCCTTACAACAATTAATAGTTTTAAAAACAAATATAAATTACTACTACACAAGGAACAAAAAAATGTTGCTTAAGACGTAGAATCTAGATATAAATAACTTATGATAATTCTCTAATGTAGTAATTTTTTATTAAGTTAACAATGAATGGATTTACCAGTAATGTACTAGGCTGCACTAAATGTATCGGGAATGGAATATTTCCACTGTTCCTGTCATATTAAAGTCTTTTTAATTGAAAACTCCTTGGTTTTAAAAATCAAATACCATTTATTTATTTAAAAAAAGATTATTGGTCTTGTCACAAGGTTTTGTCAAACTTGTTTAGTCGTTGAGAAAATGGAATTGACGCGAGAAAATTAAAGAGCGATGATTTATTATGACTTTCAAAGTGGTTCAAAACAAAAACAGTGTTGTCAATACACTGTTTTTGTGTTGAACCACTTTGAATGGTTTGAAGAAGTTGAAGTGGCTTGATGAAGCCCCATCCAAAACCACAATTTATCGCTGGTTTGCTGAATTTCAACGTGGACGTGTCCAGCTCAGTGATGATCCCCGTCAAGGTCGTCCAAAAACTGCAGTCACCTAAGAAAACGTTGATGCTGTGCGTAAGCTGATTGAGGAAGATCGACATGTGACATACCGCGAAATTCAGGCAACTTTAGACATTGGCATGAGTCAAATATAAATAATCTTGCATGAACAATTAGGTGTAAAAAAGTTGTTTTCCCGATGGATACCGCATTCGCTCTCTGAAGAGCAAAAAGCGGCTGGCGTTACTTGGTGCGTCAGAACTCTCGAAAGATTCCACGCAGGATCCTCAAATGCTGTATACAACATCGTATCAGGTGACGAATCCTGGATATACGCGTACGAACCCGAAACAAAAAACCAGTCACGAGTTTGGGTGTTCGAAAATGAGTTAAAGCCAACAAAAATTGTTTGTTCACGGAGTGTTAAGCCACGTTGTCTCCAAAACTGGCCGTGTTACGACTATTCCTCTTGAGGGACAAAGAACGGTTAATGCAGAATGGTATGCTAGCATTTGTTTGCCACAGGTCGTTTCTGAACTCCGTAAAGAGAACTGCAACCGCCGCATCATCCTCCATCACGACAATGCTAGTTCTCACACCGCACACAGAACAAAAGAGTTTTTAGAGCAATAGAATTATTAGACCATCCGCCGTACAGCCCCGACCTAAGCCCTAATGATTTCTATACTTTCCCTAAAATAAAGAATAAATTGCGTGGACAGAGATTTTCATCACCTGAAGAAGCTGTGGACGCCTACAAAACGGCCATTTTGGAGACCCCAACTTCCGAATGGAATGGTTGCTTCAATCATTGGTTCCATCGTATGGAAAAATATGTCAAATTTCGCGGAGAATACTTCGAAAAACAATAAATACATTTTTAAACGGTAATGTTGTGTCAGTCACTTCCTTGATTCACGAAATTTTCAGTGCCGCCCTCGTAACTGTATTTCATAGACAGAGAGCGGTTTGGCACTCAAAAATTATACTAAATCCTGTATTTAAAAAATGTAACTATAATGTGGGTAGCCTATTTGTTTTGTTTTTTTCTTTTCTTTCTTTTAAAATAATTTAAAAATCCTTATACTAGTTGTGTGTGTATTTACCTTAGTTATTATTTTATTTTTTTATTAATACAAAACTGTAGATATTACTTCCATACGTATCCCTTTTAGAAAAAAACGACAAATTCTACTGTCCATCCAATTATATATAAATATAGGTATATGTATATTATATATTATGAATTTTCGGACATCAAGAGCGAGCGTGCACTCAGCCGCCCGAACTGCCTCTCGGTAAGGGCTGGACTGAAAACCAGTGCTATCACTGAGTCCGGTCCGTTTCACGGTTTCATGCTGCACAGGGTATTTTTAAAATATTTTCTTAAATTTATAATGATGTTAAATTACTTTTAATTTACTTATATTTATCTTTTGGCATTTAATTACTTTTTACTTGTCATGCGGCCTGCTTAAACTGGAATAAAATGCATTTCTTTCTTTCTTTCTATTAAGACCTTATTATTAAGTTTTAAATAAAAGTTAGTTCGTAAAAAACGAATTCGAATCATTTTAGGGAGAAAGTCTTGGGTTTCTTCCCTTTATATTAAATAAATTGTATGAGAATGACATCATAGTTTCTAAAAACAAGCGCCACCTAATTTTATACCAGCTATCCGCCCCAGCTTCGCGCGGGTGATTCCTGTATCTCGACAACAGCGCCACCTACCGGGTCTAATTGAGTTTTAAACCATCCAGGAATCCACTCAAACACACACAAAAAATTCATCAAAATCGGTTGAGCCATTTCCGAGTTTTTACGATGGCAACTGATTTTTATATGTATAAGAAGAAGATTTTTTAATACTATAAATCTAAATAAACTTAAAACGAAAAATCAACCAAATTTTAAGACATTACTAAAAGTAGCAATTAATGATTTCTTAATTAGGGTCGTAAGCTAGTCTAATGCCGAAATCGTGAAACGTGATTTCAAAAGACATTTTAAATATTTGTAATAAAGACACATAATAAATATTATTGTACATGTTTTGACATTTGATACTCTTCACTACAACACGGTAATATTATCTTAAAATTACCGTGACTACAACGCTCGCTCTCTAAATCCGTCACCATCAATATCATCACTGAAAAAATATTTAAGTATCCAATACCATTATACGAGCAATATATACATATATATATAATAATCGGAATCTCGGAAACGGCTCCAACGATTTTCATAAAATTTTGTGTGCAGGGAGCTTCAGGGGCAATAAACCGATCTAGCTAGGATTTATT